CTGAGGCTGAGGCAGGAGGACTACCTCGAGTTTGAGGCAAGCCTGGATTGCACAGCAAGACCCTATCTACAAAACAAAACAAAAAGAAGGTCAAGGGCAGAGATCCAGAGACCAGCTGCCTTGAGTGGCTCTGCTGTCATGTACTTCACAAGTGACTTGTGTTCTGTAAAACAGGGACAACAGGAGTGTCCCTTACCTCACAGGATTGTTAGGCTTTCAAAGTAAACTTAAAAAAAAAAAAAAAAGCATTGTTCTTTAAGAAAGCACTCATTAAAAACCCACACTTCCTCTACACATAGTCAATGGCTAAACAGCTAAAAATGACAAGGTGTTCTATTAAATAGCCCTTTCCCTAACAAAAGCCACACAGAAATTAAAAAAAAAAAAAAGAATAATAGGGCTGGTGAGATGGCTCAGTGGTCTAAAGCACCTACTTAGAACAAGCTTAGCAAAGCTCAGGGACCGCAGTTCAATCCTCCAGCACCACATGCCAGCCAGCCCCGCCCCCTGGTGGGCTGAGCTGGCCACACACACACACACACACACACACACACACACACACACACACACACACATAAATAAAAAAAATAATAATATAAAATTTTCAGGTCATATTAAAACTAAAGTACAACTTGACACCTTGAATGCAGGTTGTTTTATATAATAAACTAATTTAGGGGATTTCACTGTCTCCTTTAAAGCAGAGCTATCTGGACATGGAAGCTTGCTCTGAGTGGGGCCTGCAGCATGACCAAGAGGGTGGCAGGCAGGTGTCGGGAGGCTGGCCTTCCACCCCCTGCTGCAGTGCAGAGCAAATTCTAGGGCACGACATAGGTGCACCACTGGCGGCAAAGGGCTGAAAGGCACCTTCATTTGCCTCTGGAGACATTCACAGGCCAACCCTGAGAAACATACTATCTTGAAGGGCAATACCACCAATCTAATGACCATGCTAAAATGCTTTCATATTTTTTAAAAGTAGCTAGGACACAGACTTACCAAACTACTTATCAGAAAGTAGTCCTTTCAAAAGTGGTGGTAAGAGGTCTACTATTGTGTCTGATGCTTTTCTCACCCTGATGGAGGGGCCAGGCACTCCTTGAAGCAATGAGGTTCTTCTGTGGGAAACAATCCAAAGTCTCTTGATGGAGAATGTATACCTCACCTCCACCACCTGGCACAGGGATAGGCCAGGGTACCTGCATTTTGTTTCTTTTTTTCTCAGTCCTGGAGATGGAACTCAGGGACTCACATAATGCTAGCAAGATATACCATGGAGTTACATCCAAAGCTCTCCCCCTTCATGACAACTATTTTGGGCTGGCCTGGTGCTATATGCCTATAACCTCAACACTTTGGGAGGCTGGGGCAGGAAGAGTACAAGTTCAAGTCTAGCCTGGGGAACTTAGACTCTGTTTCAAAATTACAAATTAAAAGGGGGTGGGTGGGAAAGTAATTTAGAGCAAAGGCTCTGTCCCCACCCCAATTAGTTTGAAAGTGTCTCATTAAGTTTCCTAGGCAGGCCTTTAACTTTCTGTTTGTTTGTTTGTTTGTTTGTTTGTTTTTTTTTTGGCAGAACCGGGGATTGAACTCAGACCCTTGTGCTTGCCAGGGAAGCACTTATTCCACTGAGCCATCTCCCCAGCCCCCTGGCCTTTAACTTTCGATCCTCCGATCCTCCGGCCTCAATTTTCCAAGTAGCTGGGATTACATCTGTACACAACCGAGCCTGGCACTACACTACTGAGCTGATACAGGCTACTGTAGGAGTGGCCCTGAGCTATACCTGCCTGCCTCCTGCCTCTGAGGAAGGGAGGAAAGGCCGGAGGTAGGACACGGATGGCTGGGCTGAGTCTCACAGCTAGGGGCAGCTCCTCAGCCTCTGCTTCATGACATTATCAAAAGGAACATGTTTTCCAGTCCGGAAATGAGCACACACTTCACAGAGGAAGAAATACAAATGGTAACAAATACAGGAAAAAATGCTCATCATCTCTGGCCATCAGGGAAATGCAAATTAAAACAACCCTAAGATTCCATCTTACTCAGAGGGAATGGCAATCATTTGGGAATCAAACAATAACAAACGCAGGCATGGCTGTGGTGAAAAAGGAACCTTTTTTTGTTGGTGGGAATGCAAATTAGTACATCCATTATGAAAACCAGTATGGAGATTGTTTTCAAAGAACTGAAAGTAGCAATTCCACAAGACCCAGCTACCCCCCTGCAAGGTATCTTAAAGACAGACATCGTATTACAGTGATACATGCACAGTGATGTGTGTGGCAGCACAGCTCATAACAAAGTCTTGGAGACATCTGTTAACGACTGGGTAAAGAAAATGTATATAGAATGGACTATCACTATGCTATAAAAAATGACGAATTTGAGATATCTGTAGGATATGGATGCACGTGGAAAGTATAATGTTGAGTAAAATAAACCAGATACATAACCTTAAATACCAAATGGTACCTCTCATTTGAGTGAGGCAAAGTACAAAGAAAATGGTATGAAAGACGGATAGCGGGTGGGGGAGGTAGCTCAGCACCATAAGCGCCTGCCTGACAAGTGAAGGTCCTGAGTTTGATCCCTGGTATCACACACACACACAAAAAGATGGACAGAAAGGGACAAAGAGATGGATCTTTTGCAGTAGGGAAGTGGCCCAAGGGAACCAGGGTGAGGGGTGAGGAGGGGAAGGGGGGGGAAAAAAAAAAGCTGTGACATGTAACCACTTCCCAAAATGATTGTAAAATGCATGAACTGAAAACATATGCTAATAAAAAAGGACATATTTATTATACACAACTTGTGAGCAACATATGCAAGAAAAAACTTCAAATCACTTAAAATCCTTACCTCTCTAAAGCAGTTATTAACCCCTGATACCTTCTGTGCACCCTTTAACATACTGCAAGTGTGGAGGAACAACTGGACAACTCCCCCTGAAGGAGGAGCAATTATCTGCATTTGGCTGAACCTGGCCCTATTTCCATGTATCAATGTGTATAGAGCTGGCCAGGACCTTCCTTATCCCTTTAAGCAATGCAAATTGGTCCAGCCGAGGTGCTGATATGTGGTCTTTGAAGAAAGGAAACAAGGCAGTGTTAGCCAACTCCCCAAAACACGTGTGAGATAGATAAATATTCCTGCAAACATTCTTGGGAGATAAAGAGGCGGGCGAGATGGAGAGCCCTGCTCCATGCTGTCAGCTGGGATTGAGCCTGGAGTAGTAAGAGACTATGACTTCCCAAGGCATAAAAGGTTATACATCAGAGCTGAAGCACTCACCACAACACATTAGTTACTATCTTAGTTTTGTTACACTGGTTATGCTTTCTGCATATTGCAGAGGTGATTTCAGGTCTCTCATCTTGTCCAATAAAATGGGGTTCAGCACTATGTCGAGGCCTTTGTTCTGCTCAGCCATCATCCTAGCTGGACTTAGGACCCCTTGGCTCCCCATAACCACAAATATGTCTTAGTATTTTTATTCTTTTTTTTTTTTTTTTTGTGGAACCAGGGATTGAACTCAGGTCCTTGTGCTTGCCAGGCAAGTGCTAATTCTACTGAGCCATCTCCCTGGCCCCAGTATTTTTATTCTTGCCATGGATTGCATTTAAAGTGGTAGATTAGAATTAACTTGCTAAAATTTCTGTAAGTTTTCCATGGGATTACAAATACAAACTTCTCAGACCTGGACAAGGATTGGGAAGGGCTCTTTATATACATGTACAAATTTTCATTTTCCACAGTGCACAACTATATATATATTTATATTTAACTTATTTGGTACAGGGTCTTGCTGCACAGCTCAGACTCGTAGTGATCTTCCTGTTTGCAGCCTCCCCAGCGCTGGAATTACAGGTGTGTGCCACCATGCCCAGACTCCATGGCCACTTCAGTGCACCTGCGGGCAGGGCTGGCATGGCATGGGGTACTGAGGATCAAACTCTGGTCCCTTTGCTTGCCTAAGCAGACAACTTTATATTCTTTTTACTAAAAATAGTGTGAGCAGGTCCAATGTGAATGAAAAAGGTCTTATTATGTGTAATAAAACAGCCTTCAGGCGGGGCTGGGGATATAGCTCAGCAGCATGGCACCTGCCTGGCAAGTGTGAGGTCTTGAGTTAGATTCCCAGTACAAACCCCACCCCCCCAAAAAAAAAAAACAAACCCAAAACACCCTTCTTCATTTCCTCCTTTGCAAATTATCAACTCATACTATTTGTCAATTTCCCTCCTTGGCAAGCCAAACATTCTCTTTGGGCCAGCTAATGATGAGCTTATGTCATTTGTGCTATCATTTGTTTTTAGGAAATGAGAAAAATTCCATTCCAGAGCAATTAAGATCTTGATCAAGCTCTTTCCATTAAAATAGAACAGGACAGTCTTTTCCTATTCAGTAGTTCCCTCCTGGCCTTTCCAATGTAAAGGACAGGCTGGGTACAGCAAAAGATTGCTGAGAGTTTGAAGCCAACCTAGTCTACAGAGTGAGTTCATGGCCAGCCTCAACTAGAGATACAGTGAGACTGTTTCTTTTTTTTTTTTGTGGAACCAGGGATTGAACTCAGATACTTGTGCTTGCCAAGGAAGCGCTTATTCTACTGAGCCATCTCCCTGGCCCTGAGATTCTGTTTCAAACAAATAAAAAACATGCAACAAAGGAAAAGGTTATACCAACTGGCCCACCTGATCTGCAGAACAAACCCACCTTCCTGCTTCTGACCCCAAGAAAGCTCTCCCCCATACCTGTCCTGCCCTTCTTTCTGTGTTTCCCTCAATCAATACATCCTGGTGCTGGTGAGATGGCTCAGTGGTCTAAAGCACCTACTTAGAACAAGCTTAGCAAAGCACAGGGACTGCAGTTCAATCCCCCAGCACCACATGCCAGCCCGCCCCGCCCCCTGGTGGGGTGAGCTGGACACACACACACACACAAATATAAATAAATAAAATTAATTAAAAAAATACTCATTTATTAAAGGAGCTGAGTTGTTGGTGTAAGGCAGATGTTGTGTGCTATGACTTCAATACTTTCAACAAACTATATTTATAAGTCAAAAATTACATGTTATTAACTAAATACCAAACTTCTGTCCCACATAGATGAAACTGCTACTATTAGTGTCCATGATTCCTTGATCACGTGGCAATTTAAATGCTTCTTGGAAAGAGGTTCATCTCAACACACCAGAAGCAGAACACAGAAAGTCACATTCTGTTTTTAGTGTGGCATGACAAGAGCCTACTACTGTACTACAAGAAGTATTCCTGTAAACATTCTTGGAGATAAAGGCAATGATTTAACAGATAAAAAGAAAGCACTCCTTGGACAAACAGGATGAGCATACAGTGGCATCATGAACTGCCAGCAGAGTTGCTGCGATGACTGACCTTGAAGTTACACTCAGGCAAATGTGAAAAGATCAAGGTGAAAAACCCATGGGAGACATTAACAGTGTTCTATACACAAAATCTCCCTTTTAGGGGCTTCATGAATCCAAGGAAAGATGGTGCAAGGCCAAGAAGGATGGGGTTGGGGACAGGGAGATGGCTCAGCAGAATAAGCGCTTGCCTGGCAAGCGCAAGGGATTGCCAGAGGACTGCCTTAACCTACACTTCCAGGAGGCTCTTTCATATCAATCTCACCATCCTCTGTATATTCATGTAGGCCATGAGAACCAACAAATTCTGATGGCCACATTCATCATCATCAAAAATACTCAGAAAACACCAAACTCCTTGAAAGAAAACCAGCACATATGACAGAAACAGTAAAGCAGGTCTATGTCTCTAATGGCTTCCAAAAGTTTAGTCATAACAAATGATTTACTTCTTCTTTTTTTTTTTTTTAGTCAAAACCATACTTTATTTAACAATCTGAATATTTGTTCTTTGGCCTTTCAGCCTTGCAAAGTGAGTCGTAAGTCAAAAGCCTGTTTGTTCACAATCTTCTGAGTATGTGTGGCTTTGTGTCTATGTAGACAAGTGTTTGTGTCTACAGGTACCTTGGCTTTTTACAGTCTTTATGATACATTTTATTATATAAAGTTTCATTTTTCTGATAATGCTAAAACCTGAATTAAAATATTCCCTGAGTCTAATCATCCTTTCCAAGCCTGCCTTCCTCCATCCCTCCCATAAGGCTGCTCCTCAGCTACCATTAATGCCAGGTCTTTAGGGACTATCAGCATTTGTACCCCCTGAGAAGCCACATGGGGATGCTGATTCTGTGCCCCTTGGACCTATCCCCTCTGGCTGGGAAGCTTCTCTGGGAGATGTGTGTAGAGGAGGTCTTGCCAGTTTCTCTTCAGAGCTGTACATTCTGATTTGCGGAAACCTCTTCTGGAGGTTCAGGTGTTATGACACTGTTTTGTCCTGGAACTACAGAGACATGAAGCTGATCACTGTGACCCTCAGGAGAGTCAGTAGAGTCAGCTGAGACAAGCTTATTGCTCTCTTCCTCTTCCATCTTCTTTGAATCTCCAGGCTCTGCAAAACCCTGAGAAGCAAGCAAGTTGGAGGAAGTGCCAAGTTCTTCTGGGTTCTGTTCAGAGGTGTCTTCCTTTTCTCTGTCCTCAGGAGACCTCAGTGGCTTCTCTAGTGGCTCTGGATCAGAACCTGCATCTAAGGAGGCCCCAGGACTTAGGGTCCCAGGCTCCAAGAGGGCCTTGGGGCTTGGAGGGGCTTTGGGAGGAGGAGGCCGACTGGGGGGCACTGAGGTCCTCTGCACAGAGGCTCTCATTGGCTGTTCGGATCCTTCACTGGAGGCGCGGGTTCGGAGAGTTACTTCTGGGAGGGAGGAAGCCTGCTCTGAAGGGGTCAGAGCTCCATCTGGTGAAGGAGCTGGGGAGCAAGGGAGAGCTCCCTCCTGGGAGTGGTTACCCTCAGTGGTGGGAGAGGGCTGGGACTGGGCTGGGCCATTGCAGGCTGGCAGAGGCTCTTCCTCCTCAGAGGAGCTTGCTTCAGACTCATCCTCTTCCATTCCCTCATCTTTTAAGGACTCCTCTCCCTGGGCTGCACCAGGTGTCAGCTCTTCCTCAGCTGCTTCACTCTCACTCGTCAGGGAAAGTGCAGAGGGACTGATAGGTGAGGTGACAGCGCTGGAGCTGGTTGATGTTCGAACTGGGGAAGAGATGACTAAAGAGCGCCTGCTGCTGCTTTGCATTCCCTTCACCACAAAGACTTTGTTGGAATGCTGCTTCTCCAGTTTACTCATCACCTCGTAGAGACTATGGTTGAGCTTGGTCATCTCTCTGTAGAAGACATCCTTCAAGTTGGAAATATTTTGGAAGACGGTCACGTAACAGCCAATACGACTGTTATAGAGAACAGGCAGTTCCTCCAACAGCTCCTGGTTCAGATCTTCAAATACAAGCTGGGCTTTGTTGAACTCTTCCTCTGCCTTGGCAATCTTGGCCTCATCTTTCTTCTTAGCGTTCTGCACTGCCTCCAGGTGGTGTCGGGCACTGTCATAGTCCACAAGTTTCCGACCCCGCTTGGCAATTCTCTCCTTAATCTCACTGAACTGAGCTACATAGTTTTCCATGGTCCTCAAAGCCTGGTCAGCCAATTTCTCTTCATAGTCTTCCCAAAGGAGATCATTATTCCCTATGATGGCCTTCAGCTCCTCGTGCCCATTCCACTCGCTGCTGTAGATCTCCTGCAGTGTCTCTGACATTCTCTTGGAACTTTCGTGTATTACTTTGACTGTACTAAGGAAGTTCTTCAAGTCCTTGTACAGCTTGTGGCCTTCTGACTGTTGTTGGTAGAAGTTACCAGCACTTTGTTCAAATCGTTCATCTTTGGTTTCTGTGGTTTTCCCCAGTTTTTGCAGTACCTTCTCCTGGGCCCTGCTGAACTTCTTCTGCACCTGCTTGGCGAAGAGGCCTGCCGCACCGCCCGCCTTGCCCTCTGCCATCCCGCCGGCTCCGCGACGGCTGACCAGCTGTGCGCCCTGTGGTTTCTGCAGGCCCCCGAGGAGGAAGTGCCTGATTTACTTCTTAAACCCCTCTTATTGTCAGACCTTAACAAGAGAATCCCATCTTCCCAATATTGAAAAAATTTCACACTTACCTGTTGCAGGGAAAAAACAAGATGGTAGGAAGCCGATCAACCATAAATTCCCAGGGAAGATCATTCTGAGACACATCAATCCTGACAGAGGCAAAGAGAAAGAAGTACAGTAATTAAGAGAATGGCCTATAAGACACAACGTGAAGGAAATTTCCTTTTTTTTTTCTGTACTGGGAATCAAGCTCATCACCTTACACTTGCCAGGCAGACACTGTGCAGCTGAGCTATATGCATACCTATAATCCCAGTACTCAGGGGAATGAGGCAGGAGGATTACTATGAATTTGAGGCCAGCCTACACTACAAAGTGAGGCCTTGTTTAAAAAAAAAAACAAAAACAACAAAACAAAAACAAAAACAAAAACAAAAAACAAAAAACAAAACCTAAAAACCAAAACATAAAAACCCTTCCAAATAAAACAACAATCAAAAAAGAAAATGAATGGAAATTATTGAACAGAATATATCACACCCTTCTATGGAGACAGATTATTTTATATGTTGTAAACCTGGACAGAGGCCAGAAACAGTATATCAGTGTATTTTCTTAGCAGATTATAGATTACTCCAATGGCTCAGATGGTCAGTCCTTCAGCAGCAGCACTGAACTAGACTTCATGTGCAGTGAGGCTCCCATGTGTGCAGATGAGATGAGCATGTACAGCATCCCCCAAAGAAGGAATCACTCTGTCCTAACGGGAAGGTTGCTTGGTCAATACTCATAAATGCTGCACCCAAAAGATGGAAATGTATGGGACCATTACCTTGATGGGAGTTTTCAGAAAGCATGAATGGTTGAAGGAGATATGGTGTAAATTACTGCCATGTGTTTAAAAGGATGAAATTAATTTATAAAAAAGAAAAAAACTGGGAGACAACCCAGGTTGCAGGATCCTGAACAGACCCAGAGCGCAGGCCCGGAGAGTGAGTGAGATGACCCAGGGCCGCGGGATTCTGAATAGACCCAGAGCGCAGGCCGGGCGAGTGAGTGAGACGACCTGGGCCCGCAGATCCTCATTCGACCCAGGCTGCAGGCCCAGCAGGGAAACCTTCAGCAGAACTCCCTGCAAAGAGGCTAGAGGCAAGACCCACCCAGCTGATTCAGGAGCAGAACATCTTCCCAGAGTGACACAAAGGGTTCAACTGTAACGCCTGCGGCAGAAAGAAGTGGAGCACAGCAGCCAGATCCAAACAACACCCACCTGGAAGAATCTGAACTTCGTAGATCCAGACCTGGTGCTAAGGTAATTACTCTATCTAAGCTCTACACCAAAGGTCAGAAGACAGTGGTAAACAAAATGTTCAGAGAAGGAATAAAATGCAGTCTCAGGCCCTGAGTCCACCCAGTACAAATGCACAGGACACTAGCACTGAGGAAACTGGAAATCACACACCAG